TCAGTGCATACAGGTCTCATTCATAACATCATGCAGACCTCGGTGCATACGGGTCTTCTCCATAACATCATGCAGACCTCGGTGCATACGGGTCTCCTCCATAACATCATGGAGACCTCTGCTCATACAGGTCTCCATAACATCATGCAGACCTCTGCTCGTACAGGTCTCCATAATGTCATGCAGACTGCCGCTCATTCAGGTCTCTTCCATTTACGTCATGCAGACCTCTGCTCATATGTTCCCTCTCTGATAGCATATGTACCCACACACATTTATGTGGTCTGGACTGCTGCCCAAACCACATTACCTCCAAAAGAGTAAAAATATCCAACAAGTTTCTTTTATTGCTTCCCTAAAAGTATTTTAACAGTAAACTTACAAAATCCTGGCAAAGAATTCAATGGAGTGTACCTCAAATTTTTAACATAGATGTATAATTTGACCTTAGAGTGACAAGCTGATATTATAATGCTGTAATTATACCATTTATACCAGTCTGCAAGTGCAGAATTTCTAATGTGCACCCATAAACCAGTGGATCTGATGCGACTGTGTGCAAATGAAGAGATCAGGCGGTCTACAAATGGCCATGTTCAGGTGGTTTACAAATGGCCATGTGCCCCCATGATCTTACTAACAACATCAGTAACCGAGGAGAGGATGCCTGTTAAAATTGGATCAACGGACAAACAGGCTTCCTTTCCAACTTCTTTCTCAGAATTTTTTTTATCCTCCTCTTGGGATTGACTTTTAATTTACCATTGCCATTTTGTTGTGACCCCCCCCTTTGTTCTGAAAGCCTTACGTACAGCTGTGCTCCATCAGGCCAGACGTAGGTGAACTCTCTGCTGAAGCAGCACTGTTTCTTTGCCAGAGACTGGGATCCTCTGTCCTCGGGTTCAGCATCCTGTGAACTGACCCACCCCCGTTGTTGCTCCTGTTCGTTGGACAGCCAAAGCTCCTCTCTAGCGGGGGTCTAGGACTCCGCTGTGCAAACTGGCTTTATAGAAAGCTTTGTCCTGCCCTGTAGCCAGCATGGAGCCCAGGGCTAGCGAGGTCTGCAGGGGAGGCGACCTGTGGGCTGTTCCTCTTCCTAAGTGCTGCCAGTCTGCTTTCAGCACTCCCTGCATCTACCCCGGACACTGCATCGCATCCCCGTTAGACAGCAGCACCGAATTACAGTGTTAATGACAGTGTTAATGACAGTGTTAATGAGCGCAACGTGGGACAAATCGGGCTCGCAGAGGAACACATTGCTAGTGCCGATTGTGCTTTTTAGGGGGGTAAAAAAAAAAAACCGCCAGCGGGGAAAATTAAGCTTATTTCCTGACTTATTAGGTGCGACGTGTGTCATGATGCGTAGCTCATGTGGTGAGGCCTCTGCTTTTTAGTTCTTCCGTCTCTAAGTGCACTTTTTATGTGGGATACTGAATGTCTCATCAGACTAACTCTCAATTTAATGGATTAACCTTTTGTATTTCGTCAAATTAAGCATGCAAATGCTTAACATTTAACATTTGCAAAACAAGACTTGGCATGAAAAGCAAATACAATAATAAGAATATATTGGTTCTAAAAGATTCCTGTAACGACATATGAGCTCCATTTTTAATCCGGTTTTGCTCATTATATCTTTATAATCACTGTGCTTTTGCTGAAGGGCCACAAACTCCCACGCCACCATTTTTCCATTCTATGTCTTTTTTATTGTTAAACCCCTCCCTCTAGATTTCAGGGACATTACAGCTTTACTTTTCTGTTCTCAATAAAAAGTAAAATGCAACAATGTCTTCGTCTGTTTCTGGCTGTGATGCAATGGAAACAGATCCTCCTTGCCTCAAAAATGGTCAAGTGTCCGACTGGATTGTCAAGTTTTTTTTTATTTAAGGAGAAACTCCTTTAGTAATTTTCTACAAATACTATGAACATTTTCTTGATCAGATATAATCATTTAAATGTATTAGTCTGGAAATTACCCTGGATAGGCCTTGGTGGATACAGTGCTGCCCCCTGCTGCTTGTTAAGGGCGTTACAGTTCGCCATGATCTTTCTGCTCCCGCTGAACTCTGATCTTTTCTGGGAGAGTCTTGGTCAGGAACGTGTAGCGGTTTGCTTTGAGGTGCTGTCCACTCCTGACCTTTAGCCCAATTTCCAGGTACTCCTCACTCTGTCCATACTGTGGCCAGGGAACGAGATCATCTCCATTGGGAGACCTAAAGGGCAGATTAAACACACACTGCTGAAGTCTTCAGGTAATGTGTATTTCGAAAAAACTCAAGTCAGACCTTTAATTATGTGACTATTTACATGATCTTCTTTCACCATCTGGGGGAGCTGCTCTTTTGTGAAGAGAAAAAAACATGCCTGAGTGACATTTTTGAGGCAATAACTTTTTAGCCGTTTGAAACTGGCCGCTGCTGGGTGAAGTGCAGGAATACAACAGTGCAAGATCACAGTGACTCGACAGCGTGTTTCACAGAGCAGAGATCTCTGCTCAGTCTAGAACAGGCAATTCCCTGCACCCTTACCTGTGACATTTAGTTAGGGTTTGAAGATAATTGTTTCATAATACAAAATAAACAGACCCTGAAAGGCAACTATGTTCAGATTTGTTCGGTAAATAACTATGTCCTCTGTCCTGTCTATTAGATTACAGGCTGCTAGAACCAAAAACTGGCTCTTTGTGACCCAGACACAATTCTGTTCCAGTTTCCAATGGAAGTCAAATGAGACAAATTACAAGTTCTCTGCAAATAACCAGTATTTTTTCGGGATTACAGTGATACCTGCTGCATGCATTTCTACTTACACAATTTAAACTAATTTTCTAACTAATTTTCAACTATTACATTCCATTATCGGGTTATACAAATAAAACCTGAAGTTGTGAGGACATGGACTGAGAAAAGCTGGAATTTGATTTTTGCTACTTGAAAATGATGTTCAAGTTATGAACAGATTCCTACAAATTCCTTAAGCAAAGGCCCCTAACCCCGACTGCCACAGGGGCCCTTGGACACCGGCTGCCCCTGGGCTCTGACCCCAAAACCTGCTCCCACCTGAAATTTCATGTGTGCCAGTGTGCCAGTGTCTTATGTCTCATGCCAAAACTGCCCAGTGTCCCGATAATAATGTATCACTAAACTATTCTATTCTGTTGGAGTGTACATGAGGGATAATGTAAAATGATCAGATTTGGTGAAGTACCCTTTAAAAGGGGTGAGAACATGATACATACACTGAATGTTCCTTACCCAGTTCGAGCAAAGTTACCAAAGTAGGCCATTACTGTTTTGGATAGCTGCTCCTCCTCCTCAGTAAACTTATCTGTGTGGGACAATAAAGAAGAGCTGAGTTTATGAACATATTTATCGGTCCCAGACATTTCTAATCAAATATATAAGCAAATATAAATAACAAACATGATCCAGACCACAGCTATTCATTTTCACTTGACCGTACCTGAGAAATGTATGTGCCCCTTCCAGAAAGGGCCCCCAAACACGAAAAGGACTTCATCTCCGTGGTCAGACTTGATGAAGCTCGGCCTCCTGTCCCGGAGCAGGCCGGGAGCGTGCTGGAACTCGTACAAGTAGACGGGCACTCCAGCATCTGGGAGGAGCCAGTTTCCTGACAGTTAGCTGCAGTGTCCCCTCACCTGTCCCCTCCCCCCCACAAATACTGTGTATGAAATAAAAAATAACCCTCCCAGTCTTTGTCTTTACGAAACACTACTGTGGGATGCCTACTGCTCTGATACATCCCCTAATAACTGTGAAACACTAAAATCGTGGGCTTACACCGTCTGCCAAGGTTTTAAATTACAGTATGTCAATGATGTCAGTGCCAATAATCATCTGGCCAAGTGCTTCACCTCTGTGAAAACTGGCTGATTCGATGGCAGGAATGACAAACATGACGTCTCCCATCAGTTCCAGCCAGCGGTCCCGATTGGTACTCCGGTCTTTGGAAGTTCTCAGGTACTCATCAACGATCAGCTCTCTGATCCGCTGATCTGCCGGCTAACCCACACACATCCACATTTTACTTAATGCAGTTATGTTAATATGCAGCTGTATTTTAAATGAGGCTTTTGTTGATAATTGTTAATCTATTGTTATTTATCCACCAAAAGAAAAATGCAGAAAAAGAAAATATATCAATTAGACTTGACACTGGTGTTTTACCTCAGGGTACAGTAAAGCCAGAAGAGGCATGATCTCTTCCCGATCCAAACCCTTCTCCCAGCCTGCAGGACCCAGGTACTGTGGGAAGACTGCATTGACTGCATTGTTTCATTCACTTGGAAGAAGCACCAGAATATTTGTACAGGGGTATTACTCACACTTCCCAGCAACCAGCCAAACTCCTGGCTGGTTACACCTGTCATGAATGGAACTTTGTGGAACCCCTGCGTCCGGAAGATCTCCCCCGGAGGCTTGGGGAGGAACACTCCATCTGCGGTTATTCCACAGCTGATCATTTTAGCCTTTTCAATGTGGAAAAAGAAGCAGGTAATTAAATGATTTACTATACCATCTAAAAAGAAGCAGGTAATTAAATGATTTACTATACCATCTAAAAAGAAGCAGGTAATTAAATGATTTACTATACCATCTAAAAAGAAGCAGGTAATTAAATGATTTACTATACCATCT